CATTCCTCTCCCCCTTCCTTCAGTTTTTCTGCTATAAAAAGCTGCTTTCTAACAGCCCGGCTCTGGAGTCTTGGGGAGCCCCCAGGGGACGAGGCGGGTGATGGAGACAACAGGGATGATGATGAGGACGGTGCTGCACGGCCCTCGGTGCACGGTGTCGCACAACCCTCAGTGCACAGAGCTGCACAGCGCTTGGCGCACAGGATGTGGTGCAGGGTGCATGGCCCTCGGTGCAGGGTGCTCAGTGCAGAGTGCAGCACCGTGCTCAGTGCGTGGCGCTCGGTGCAGGATGCAGCACAGAATCACAGAATCACAGAATCGTTTAGGTTGGAAGGGACCTCTGGAGATCGTCTCGTCCAACCTCCCTGTTCAAGCAGGGTCACCTAGAGCATATTGCCCAGGATCACATCCAGGATGTGATCCAGCACGGCGCTGCTCGGCACAAAGTCCCCAGCAGCAGCTGCCCCATCGGTTGCCCACGCAGTTGTGCCCTGGCCTGGTGGTTTCCGACCTCCCCAGCCAGGCCCCGCTGCGGCTTTGCTCCTACGGTGATTTCCGGTGCCGAATGGGACATTCGCACCCGCGTGGGTGCAGCTGGGGGCATGCATGAACATGGGGCAGGGGCTGGGTCCCTCACATTTGGGGGGGGAGGTGGCAGGGATGGAGGCCCTGGACACCTGAATCCCTCTTTGCAGGCCCCCTGAGATCACCCCCCAATGATTCCCCAGGCCCAGGGTGGAGAGCCAGGTGGATTCTCGGATGGCTCATATAGGGTTGTGCACAGGGTCTGAAGCTTCCTTACCCACCCGGATGCCTGGGTCCCTCTCTGCAGGCCCACTGGGATCCCCTCCACCATCTCCAGCAGCCCTAAGGCCCAGGGCTGGAGAACATGGTGGATTCTCGGGTGGCTCGTATAGGGTTGTGCATAGGGCCTGAAGCCTCCTGTCCCTAGGTCTGACCCACCCAGATGTCTAGATCCCTCTCTCTGGGCTTGTTGAGACCCCCTTTACCATCCCTAGCACCTCTAAGGCTCGGGGTGGAACCTGGGTGGATTCTTGGATGACTTGTATAGGGTTGTGCATGGGCTGAGCCCCTCCCCATCCTGCCTGGATCCCTCTCTGCAGGCCCACTGGGACCCCCTTCACCATCAAATCAGGACAAGTCTGGGGTCAGTGCAAATTTGGGGGTCTAGGGACAAAGGTGGGGAGTCAGGGGCAAATCCAGGCTTGAAGGGGGGCAGTTGAGCCCTTTGTACCCCCCCACCAAGGCTCCACCATTTCCCCCAGAAAGAATATTTTTTTGGGGGGGAGAGGCACAGATTCACCCCCAAAATGAGGCTGGTGACATCCTGGAGGGGGTTTTGGGGGGGGAGGTCCCATTTTTGGGGGGAGTGAAGGACACCTGGGGCCACCTGGAGCCATAAATAAATTTATTAGGAAAATAAATTGCAATAAATAATGGGAATTAAAGTGCCTGGCAATAAATTAGA